GAACATAATTCTTCAATATGTAGCTTGTGTAGAGAAAAACTACTTGGTAGCAGCACCTTGGAGGTGTTACTATAAGAAGATATGCTATTTCAATCTTTTCAATGCTATACCATATGTATGGTCTTTCTGTGGAGATTTTTTCATTTTAAAACTGTCCATCTCATTGCCACTCCACTTCTGTGAAATGTTAGGATTTCAGCGGGTACTTCTTAATTAGTGAAGAAATATTCAACCCAAGGAAGATTTGAGTGATTTTTCTCATCTAACATGTTTTACATATTTTTGTTTTAGTTTGTGTTTTGTTTTTGTTTTTGTGTTGGGTCTTGAACTCTGGGCCTGGGCATTGTCCCTCAGCTCTCAGCTCAAGGCTAGTGCTCTACCACTTGTGCCACAACACTACTTCCGGTTTTCTGAGTGATTTATTGGAAATAAGAATCTCAAAGACTTTTCCTGCCCGGGCTGGCTTTGAACCACAATCCTCATATCTCAGCCTTCTGAAGAGCTAGGATTACAGGTGTGAGCCACTGGCATCAGCTTTTTGTTTTGTTTTATTTTTTTTTTCCTTGATGGAGTTTGAACTCAGGGCCTGGGTGCTGTCCATGAACTCTTTTGCTCAAGGCTACTGCTCTTCCACTTTGAGCCACAGTGCCACTTCTGGGTTTTTTTTTTTTTTTGTTTTTTGTTTTTTTTTTTTAGTTTATTGGAGATAAGAGTCTCACAAGGACTTTTCTGCCCAGGTTACCTTACAACCAGGATCATCAAATCTCAGCCTCCTGAGCAGCTAGGATTACAGGCATGAGCTACTGGTGCCCGGCTGATGCTTTCTATTTTTAAAATAGTCTTATTGTTTGCACACCATATAATCCAGCAATTTAAAGTCCAGTTTGGAAGAGAAACCATTTCCCCACAATTCAGCTTAAGACTACTACTGCCCTCCATGTCCCTTATGTGTTCCTTGTAGTTCTCTAGATCAGTTAAGTTCCAAACCAAAATTAATATATGAACAAGTGCCATATATTGTCAGAAGTTCAAAAGAGGAGGACCTCATTATCATAGGGTCATAGATCCTCAGGTAGGAAAAGCAGGATTCAGAATATAGATTAAATGCACATGGGTAGAAATGGATACACATAGTGATGTACTTGGAAAGACTCACACAACCAAAAACACAAATAATAAAGCATAATGCCATTCCTAGCTTTGGTGGCACATATTTTAATCTTAGCTATGCTGGAAACTAAGACCTGGACAATAGATGTTCAAAGCCAACCCAGGCAGAAAACTCTGAGAGACTCCATCTCCAAAATAATCATCATAAATGAAGACTGGAGGTGTGGCTCGACTGCAAGAATACCAGCCTTGAGCAAGCAATCAAGCGGAGCAAACACAAGTCCCAGTATTAATGAAAACAAAAACCAGTAAAAGACGTTTTTAGCATATATCCTCAAATAAGTAGATATATAGATCAGAATAATTTGAAGCCACATATATATATATAAAATATTCTGAAGAATATTCACATCCAGAGCAAAAGAGGCAGAATTTTCCAAGATGGCCTTTCTGTTGACATTGTTGCTAAATTATAGAGCAGATCAGGAAGAAATAAGAACTGGGTCAGGTAATTATAGTGTTAGAAGCCAAACTAACCTTGGAAGGCATGTAATCCAACTTCTTAGGGAATTGAGGCTCTGCAAAGATAAAGTCACCAGAGGTCAAGGCTAAGCACTGATTATAACATCAACATGGAGAGTTCTGCCAGCAGACTGGCTTTTAACTTGAATTTTCATATCAACTCTTTCTGGGGTCTCTACATGCTAGCCTACTCTGAATGTTTTGTATATAACAACCTTATGAATGTGAGTCCATTTCTCTCCTTCTCTCTTCTCTCCCTCCCTCCCTCTCTCCTTCCCTCTTCCTTCCCTCCCTTCTCCCCCACACCCATGCTTTCTTGTTATATGAAGAATTCAAGAGTAAGAGTAAGAGGACTAACAGGTTGTAGCTGGTGGTCTTGAAGGACTAGTCCATACCCAGTCCAGCTGAATTGGTGGATACTTCTCTTACCTTCTGAAATGTTTTTCAATATAAAAAGCTTTATGTTAAGAAATTTACAGACAAGCCAGATGCTGGTGGCTCACACCTGTAATCCTACCTACTAAGGAGGCTGAGATCTGAGGATAGTGATTCAAAGCCAGACAGAGCAGGAAAGTCTGTGAGACTCTTATCTCTAATTAATCACCAGAAAACTGGACCTGGTGCCATGGCTCAAGTGGTAAATCACTCGCCTTGACCTGAAAAGCTCACTACTGCCAAAAAAAAAGAAAAAAGAAATTTATAGACAAATGAAACCTACAATCTATATAGCCCTCCTATAACTCTTAATGACACCCTAATCCAGGCCCAGTTTGCTTTCTTTAATTTCCACTTACTAGAAGATGCTCTTCCAGATACTCTAGGCCATTTGAGCCAGGTCCTCAGGTTCTGTACTTTCATTCTGAAAATTAGTTTGAACAGATTTTAAGAGAAGAGAAATTGATTTGGCGTTTTTGTTTTTTGTTTTTTAGGGTTTTTTTTTTGCCAGTCCTGGGGCTTGAACTCAGGACCTGGACACTGTCTCTGAGCTTCTTTTGCTCAAAGCTAGCACTCTACCACTTGAGCCACAGTGCCACTTATGGATTTTTCTTTTTGTGTGGTGCTGAGGAATCAAATCCAGGGCTTCATGCATGCTAGGCAAGCACTCTAACACTGAGCCACATTCCCAGACCCAGAAATTGTCAATTTATGGCTCCATTTCAAGACCTTCTCATCTTGGACAAGTTTCTCTAGCTGTTGGTGTCTTGGATTTCTCATCTTTAAGAATGAGTTTATAGGGCTGAGATGATTGGATGAAATAGCATCTGTAACCTGAGTAGAACAGTGCCTAGTCCAGACAAGGTTCACAAGCACTAAGTACAAAAGTAGAAAATCTTGGACTAGGAATGTGGCTCAGTGGTAGGGTGCTTGCCTCACATGCATGAAGTCGTGGGTTCAATTCCTCAATGCCATATATACGGAAAAGGCTGAAAGTGGTGCTGTGGCTCAAATGGTAACATGGTAGCCTTGAGCAAAAAGAAGCTCAGGAATAGTGCCCAGGCCCTAAGTTCAAGCCCCAAGACTGGCCAAAAAAAAAAAAAGTAGAAAATCTTGTGATGGTATTATTAAAACCGAAGATCATCTACAAGGGATAAGTTTAATTGTGAGCTCCCTTTTTAAAAATTGACCATGGGAAATGTCCTAATTCTTGCTTGAATCATACTCTGTTAGTAAGTACAGGGGAGAAAGATGTGGCTGAATATGAATCATGAAAATATAAGCTTGTGATCCAGGTCAGAAATTACAGGTACACAGAAAATATTTTGAAGCAAACAAATGCCCATATTACTTGATATGTTATATGTTGGAGCAATGGGCTCAAAGAACAAAAACATTTCTCTATCATATATAACTAGACAAGAAGTATCATATCAGAAAGAATCCTGATTATGGTTTTATAAGATACACATATATGTATCTATATATAGTCGTATATATATATATATATATATATATATATATATATTCCTAGAGCTTTAACTCGAGTTAAAGCTGACCCTAGATGCTGACCCTCAGCCTTTTTGCTCAAAGCTAATGCTCTACCACTTAAGCCACAGCTCCACTTCTGGCTTTTTGGTGGTTTATTGGAGGTAAGAGGCCCACAAACTTTCCTGCCAGGCTGGCTTCAAACTTTGATCTACAGATCTCAGTTTCCTGTGTAGCTAGGATTACAGTCATGAGCCACCAGAGACTGGCTTTCATGTAAAGTTTTAAATGTCTTTAGAAGAATACCCATAGAAACTTGGTTTCCTTTTCAATCAAGTGAAAGAGAGACATAGGACTGACTGCAAAAGTTTTTACTAGGGAGAGGAATTTCAGAGGCTATGTAAAATGGCAACATGTTATATACTAGGGCTGGGTTTATCCTGGAGTTGACTAAGCTGTAGAGATTTGCCCTTGCCTGCCAGAGGCTTCCTTGATCAGACAGCATAGAAAGACACACCCAGACAGTGTTTCTTACCACCTGGCATAGATATTTCCTCAGTAGGTGCAAAAACTTGTTTGGCCTCTCTTGATTTAGAAGAGTTTTAGCTTCCCAACCAGTTCACTCAGCTTCTTCTGGCAAGTGTTCATTGTCTGACAGACATTTGTAGGATCGTTTCATTTTCTCATCTTGCTATACATTCAAGGAACATTTGAGAGAATAAAAGGTACAGGTACCTTAGGAGAGTTCGAAGTTATCGTTTCACTTGTATTTGTTTGAGTGGGATAAAACATTTACCTAAGTGTTGCCCTGAACTATTCTGAAAGTTCTGTCTTTTCTAAGGCTCAAACCCTTAAGGTGACTAGAAGTTTTGAGAGATCAGACAGATAGGTTATGGTAATGTATTAAGGATTAAAAACACGTTTTTAAAGTGAGCGCTAAATACACAGACCCTGCAAGGTGTATGAATTCAGACGTATTATCTTGAGTAAAAGAATAAATGGAGTGAGAAAAAGGAGAAGTCTGAACTGTGGGTTTTTTTCTCTCCCTCAATTTCTTTTTACTTATCAAACGACAACTTTGAATGTTTGTTTAGATTTCATCTTTGTCCTCTAAGTCTAGAGAAATGAGTGAATTGTTGGACAGATTGTTAAAGCAAGAATAACGATGGCGGCAGTTGGCAATCAGGGTGAGCATCAGAGAGCGGACTGTGTGGACCTTGGGTCACTGGGACACCTGCTTGGTGCAAACTTGCAGCTGTGCCCCACAGCTGGCGCTGGAAGCCGGGCCTCGGCCAGGCTCCACCCACGCTGACGTCACGGGAGGCGGGGCGGCGGGCGATTGGCGGCTGGCGGAAGCCGGGGTGGCTGGGGCTGGTGGGGGAGAGGAAGGAGGAGGGAGTCAGGAGGAGGAGGAGGAGGAGGAGGAGGAGGAGGAGGGTCGGGGGAGCCGTGGAGAGGCCGGAGTAGCGCCTGGGCTTACACCAAAGGTTGGACGCCGGCTCTGGAAACCGAGTTTGGGAAAGAAGAAGTGTGTGTCTTTCCCAAAGACAGATGCCTGGCTGGGAAGGGTGACTCGCCCCTCAACCCTGAAGCTCGGTGCCTGCAGCTTGGAGTCGCGGGATCACCATGCCGAGCGGTGTGCCCAGGGAGGAACCGGTAAGACGCCAGCCCGGAGGCTGCCCGCGCCCCGCCCGGCCTGCCCCCTGCTCGCCCCCTTCCCCTCCCGTACGCTTCATGGCTTGGCTCAGGGCGGGACGTCCGGGCTGCGTTGGACTTTTAAACAGCCCTGGAGGAGCGTTTACACCTTTCTGAGTTAGTTGCTCTCCAGACAGTTCCTTGCCTTTGCTGAAGGCAGGAGCTGGTGGAGAGGCGAGTGCTGCCCGCGTGGGGTCCCGCCCCCACCCGCCCCGCGCCGGCACGCACGCCTGGGTCTCCCATTGGGAAATCCAGTCGTTGGAGAGCAGTTCTGGCAGCCTGCCCACTCCTGTCCCCGAGGGTGACAAAGCGAGAAAAGGTGCTGATCTTTAGCGCAGCACCTCAGTCAATCCCCGGGCAAATCCTTAGGAAGCGACGTGCGTTTGTGATTGTATTGGAATTTGCTCTGAACTTTGTGTGTGTGTGTGTGTGTGTGTGTGTGTGTGTGTGTGTGTGTGCGCCAGTCCCGGGGCTTGAACTCAGGGCCTGGGCACTGTCCCTGAGCCTCTCTGTGCTCAAGGCTAGCCCTCTACCACTTGAGCCACAGCGCCATTCCCACTCTGTTCGTGTGGTGCTGAGGAATCGAACCCAGGGCTTCATGCGTGCTAGGCAAGCGCTCCACCATCAAGCCACATTCCCAGCTCTCTGGAATATTTTTGAAAGGAGTCACCCAAAAGAAAAAAAGGAAAAGGAAAAGAAATGTGCTTTCCCTCATATACAATTGTGAAGAACTTGGTTGTTACATTTACCTTGTATGGTCCAGAGACGTGGATTGGTCAATGAATTCCTTATGTCCGGGAGTCTTATTGATGGCTGAGGACCACATACTTTTATTAAGGATAATTAAATTAGCTTGGGTATTTAGAATGCCATCTAACTAAGATTAAAGCTTCCTTTGACTTCTTTTCATGATAGTGCTTTGTGAGGAAGAGCATTCTGTAGACTCTAAGTCTCTGATTAATCAACCTGGAACTATGGACGGAGGGGGAGAGGTGCTCTTTACCTACCAGAAGTACAGCATCCACCTTTAAACTGGGCTGGGTCTCATTTTTGCAGGGTAGTATCATTAAAAAAAAAATGTGTTGACTTGCCAAACAGAATAACTCATTCATCCCCCCCACCCCCCACCCCCGCCTTTCTGGGCTGTTCTTTTTTTTTTTTTTTCATTAAAATGAGAACGTTCTGTATGCATTGTTTTAGAGTAGCTAAAAAATAACGTTATATTAATGTTGTGTGAAAAAATGGAGAATTGAAAAAGTCTAAAACAGGATGTGAGAGTGTAGCAAAAACTGAATGTTTCATACTTAGTATTCAAACTGTTGAATAGGACTTATTTTGCTATTGCCAGTCAGATGAAGAGAAATGTTGACAATCTGACTATAATTTAGAATATACGTCTCCTATGTTAGACAAATATACTTATTAGAATCAATTTTAAAAGTTAAGAGTTAATAAATATCCATATAGTCAAGCCTCCATTCCATGTTTTGCTAGGTGTCTGATTCAGCTATAAATCATTTACAGAAAAGAATTTTTTTTAAAACTACAAGTAAGATTGCTTTGGGGACTCTATAAACCTAATAGATTGTCAGTGCTGAAGAATGAGAATTTATTAATTCTAGAAACAATGATTTGTATAATGGATGCTATCATCATATTGGTTAATAGTTACAGCAGCAAAGCAACTTTCCTTATTTATCCCTTTCCCTGCCTCCTAACTTTCCTCCTTCCCTCCCTTCCTTTCCTTATTTTTTCTTGCTTTTTTCCTTCTTTCCTTTTTCTTTTCATTTCTTTTCTTTTACTTTCCTTTTCCTTTTTGTTTCTTTTTCCTTTCCCTATCACTTCCTATGATCACATCTGCTGCACTATCTGATGCTGATAATCTTTTCGTCTGTCTGCCTAAAATCTGCTCATTCCTATTAAGGCCTTTTTATGAGTGAGGGAGATAAATGCAATTGCATTCACTGAGTAAAAACAACTTAAAGGTTTCAACTCCTTTATTTCTGAAAAGGAAAGTATAATTGAGTTTGGAACTGTTCTAAATGTTGTGAACTCTTTTTCTTAAGTTCATAGTATTCAGTTGTTTAGCATGATTTTGCAATACTTCAATTTTCCTTAATGAGACTATAAAATATATGCAGTTATATATAAATAGGTTATATTTGATAATATTACTTATAATATCCTTTTTCTTCACTAAAAACTTTCCAAGAGAGATATTCTCTGTGTTTTCATCACAAAGATTCTACTTACCTGTGATACCCTTTAGTTAAGATTTCATTTTGTAGTTGCTGTTGTTGTAGTTAACATACCTACTTTGTCTGAATAGAAAAATGCCCGAATCTGGGACATTATTCTAAGATCTCTAAACCAATGACAAATTCTTTCAATAGCGTAAGGTAATGTTAATGACTAATTTTACTTTGATTGTGAGACTGCCTTTCATTTCCCAAATTGTCAACTTTCATTTGAGCCTGGCTCAAACTGGATTGTCCCAAATGCCCAGTCTGATATGATATATATATAACTATATAAATTAATAACATATTAATATACACATTTATATATATTATTTATTTTATTTTTTCCTGCTTTATGTGGGTCACAGTTTGATAGGCCAAGGATAGGAGTATGTGGGTAAGGCAGGTCATTTTAAGGATGTAGTATTGGTATCAGGCAGATGGTAGAGGTGAACCAGTAGAGGGAGGAGATGTAGGCTTGTCTAATCAAGGAACATAGGAGTGTGGCTAATGAGAAATTGTAGTGTTGCTATGCGTGCTGCCTTTGTCAGCGATGTGTGAACAGAGTTGGAAGTCTCTAACAATCCAGCATCTTGTAGGTTGTTGGTAAACTGTTTTCTGCAACCTGTTATGTAATTTTTCCCAGATGTCTCCTTCTCTTTTTTCCTCATTCCAACGTATCTATCACACTTCTTGCAAAGAAATCTAAATGTCAATAGTATGTCATACTCTTCTCAAATATTGTCAGTGATTCCCCAGGTTTCCAAACTGAACATAACTTCTTTGTTTTTAACATTCACTGTGAACGTAGTCCTAATATAGACTTCATTTTAATTTCCCATCACTACTCGATTTGTCTTTGAAACTCCAGCTTCAATGAACTACTCAGAGGTACTGTAGTGAAGGTGGATTTCCCAGACTCTTTCTCTCTTCTAAAATCTGTGATTCTCTCCTATCTGGATTCGAGGCATTTGCATCAAGACTTACTGAAGATGCTTTCACTTCTGAACAGCCTTTCCTCTTCTCCCTTTTCATCTTCCGTGTCTTTCCTTCTCCTGGGACCTTCTATGTTCTCCTGAACCACATGGTTATCCCAATTTTTGTCTTCTTATATTGAATTGGTATTTTGATTTATTTTGGGGGCTTTTTAAAATTGATTTCCATATTATGCAGAGTTGTGCCTAGAACAAGGTAAAGTAAATGAACACTAGAGAGTAAGCACTAAAAGTCAGAGATATTTATTTGTTCTGTTTCCAGGTGTATTTCAACATTATAATAATTGGTTCACGCAGTGGGGGCACAGTAGCATTATTAATGTATGAAGTTAGCAGGCGCAGTGCATTACTCAACAAACCCCTTAGATGACTTTGTGAGCCAGGAAACAGAGACATAGAGGGGAAGAGGGCAAGAGTTGTGGTAATTAGCCACTTGTAAATACATCAACAGAGTTGGTGTTCTTTCTGCAAACTGCTGCTTTGTACACAGTTGAAGTTTGGGAGGAGGGTAGCATTGAATAACTTTTTAGAATTGACCATTTACCATGAATCTATTTTATTATTCCAGTGAAGATGTTCCATATCTTTTTTTCCCATTTCTTATTAATATCATTTATCTGCCGGGCGCTGGTGGCTCACAGCTGTAATCCTAGCTACTAAGGAGGCTGAGATCTGAGAATCATAGTTCAAAGCCAGCCCAGGTAGGAACGTCCATGAGACTCTTATCTCCAATAAACCACCAGAAATCCAGAAGAGGTGCTGTGGTTCAAGCCCCACAAAAGCAACCAAAAAAAATCATTTATCTATCAGTTATTGATGTTTATCTAATATGCATATTTATATAATGTATGTTGCAACCATTTAAGTAATTAGCATATATACACAGTGTTTCCTTTGTATTAAGTCATGTGCCAAAGTAATTTCTAATCATTGAGAAATAATACTTGTGTAAGTTTTCTGCTTCTGCTCGTGGAAAGATGCTAATATTGAATGTTTTTAGTGCATTCCCCTTTGTCTTCCTATCTTCCTAATAGTCTTTTAAAAGTTATCTTTTATCTTTTTTTTATCATTTTTATATGCACATATAATGTTTGTCACATGGTGCTGGAGCTGCCTTCCTTGGTTTGAGTGGGTGAAGTTAGCATTCCAGAAAATTTGTGTTATACAACTTTAAAAAGTTATTCTGGCTCTAGTTTCCAAATGAGTGCTTACCAGTGTGCTAAAGTCACTTCCAGATTTACTTGCTTACTTACTGCAAGTGTTTCAATACTTCCTTTTTTTCTGCTCTGACATCTGGTGACATACCTAGCAAAGTCTGTGTCTTGTGACACTTAAAAACTGAAGGATCAGGTGATGATACTTCCTAGATTCAAGACTTTGTATCATTTGAGAACATGGAAGCCTTTCAGTACTTATTTATAAAAATATGATTTTTTTCTGGTCTTGAACTCAGGGCCTGGGCATTGTCCTGAGCTTCTTTTATTCTAGGTGAACACTCTACCACTTGAGCCACAGCTCTACCTCCATCTTTTTTGAATAGTTTATTGGATATAAGAATCTCATGGATTTTCCTTCCCCAGCTGGCTTTGAACTGTGATCCTCAGATTTCAGCCTCCTGAGTAGCTAGGATTACAGGCATGGACCACCAATGACTGCCTTGATTTTACTTTTTTAAACCTAGACTGGCCTCAGTGCCTTTCTCCATATTTCAGCCTCCCAAGTAGTT